GGCAGACAGGTTTCAGCTGAGCTTCCAGACTAAGACAGATGAGGAAGAAGGACCTAGCGGTCTACCTCTGAAAAAACTGGCCAGTGAAAACATTACTAACAGCAGCAGAACACTGTCTGATATAGTGCCGGAAGATGAGCCTCTCAAGTTGGAAGGCATTCAAAATACGATTGGGAAGAGCTGCCTCCTCAAACTAGAGCCAACCTTAATGACATGGATGGAGTCAAGCTTTCGGGAACTTCATTTACTGATGTGGCACGACTCAAAATGAGAAGAAACAGCTGTAAACATCCATTAATAATCAGAACATGCAATGTACGAAGTATGAAGCTAGGAGAATTGTAAGTTGTCAAAAATGAAATGGAATGTGTAAACAATGATATCCTAGGCATTAGTGAACTGAAATAAACTGGTATGGGCAATTTGGAATCTGACAATCATATGGTCTACTATGCTGGGAATGACATATTGAAGAGGAATGGCGTTGCATTCATTGTCAAAAAGAACACTTTGAGATCTATCCTGAAGTACAATACTGTCAGTGACAGGATAATATCCATACACCTACAAGGAAGACCAGTTAATATGACTATTATTCAAATTTACACACCAACCACTAATGGCAAAGATGAGGAAACTGAAGATTTTTACCAATTTCTGCAGTCTGAAATTGATCAAACACTCAATCAAGATCCATTGATAATTACTGGTGATTGGAATGCAAAAGTTGGAAACAAAGAAAGATTGGCAGTTGGAAAATATGGTCTTGATGATATAAACGATGCCAGAGATCCCACAGAATTTTGCAAGACCAGTGATTCCTTCATTGCAAATACCTTTTTCAACAACATAAACAGCAGCTATACACATGGACTTCACTGGATGGAATACACAGGAATCAAACTGACTACATCTATGGAAAGAGATGATGGGAAAGGTCAATATCTTCAGTCAGAACAAGACTACGGGACAACTGCAGAACAGACCATCAATTGCTCCTATGCAGGTTCAACTTGAAGCTGAAGAAAATTAAAACAAGTCCATGAGCCAAAATATGACCTTGAGTATTTCCCTCCTGAATTTGGAGACCATCTTAAGAACTGATTTGACGGATTGAACACTAATGAGCGAAGACCAGACGGGCTGTGGGATGACATTAGAAAACCAAAAGGGAAGAACACGCTCGGCATTCCTCAAGCAGAAAGAACTGAAGAAAAAATTCAAGCCTTGAGTTGCAACTGTGAAAGAGTCTATGGGCAAAACACTGAACTATGCAGAAGCTTCAAAAGAAGATGGAAGGAATACACAGAGTCACTGTACCAAAAAGAATTGGTCAACGTTCAACCATTTCAGGAGGCAGCATATGATCAGGAACTGATGGTGCTGAAGGAAGAGGCTGAAACTGCACTGAAGGGATTAGTGAAAAACAAAGCTCCAGGAACTGACCGAATACCAATTGAGATGTTTCAACAAAAGGATGCAGACCTGGAGGTGCTCACTTGTCTATGCCAAGCAATCTGGGTGGACTCAAACTTCCAACCTTTCGGTTAGCAGCCGAGCATGTTAACTGTTTGCAACGCCCAGCAACTCCATAAATAAGGCACTGTCTTTAAAAAAAAAAAAAGAAAAAGATATGCAATTAAAGTAAAAGTTAAAGAAATACCAACACCTAGGCACATCTGGATAATGTTCTCATGAATCCTTACGTCTTATAAACGTTGCTTAATTTCACCCAGTGTCTATCAAGTCTTGAGAAAAAAAAAAGATTTTTCATCCACTGTATAGCCCTCAGTTTAGAATCAGGGCTTTTGTGCCTTTAACCAATGTTGCATTTAAAAAACTCATGAAATAACTCCATCAGAGAATTTAAAGGGACATATATTGATAATAAAGATATAAAGAAATTATTTAAAAAAAAACCTGAGGGGAAAAAAAGGCATTAAGTGGCCTTCCTGACACACGTAGATGTGATGGCTAATATTATGCGTTAACTTGGCGTGGTTATGATTCTCAGTGGTATGGCAGATACTGGACTGGTTGCTCTCCCACAAGATAATATAATCACCTTCTATGGTGCAATCTGATGTGATCAGCCAATCAGTTGAAAGAGGAGTATCCTTGGGGGTGTGGCCTGCCTTTAGGATATAAATGGATGTTCTGACAGCACCTGCCTGCTCTCGACCCTTTGTGCTTCTTGTTGTCTGACCTCCTGTTCCTGAGACGTAAGCCTGCAGAAGTCTCTGGCCTGCTGACTGACCTGTAGGTTTCAGATTTGCCAGCCCCCACAATCCAGCCCTGACAATTGTGTGAGCCATTTCCTTGAAGTAAGTTAAGTGCTCTTATATGTGCACTCTCTCCACACACACACACACACACACACACACACACGTGCACACAGACATCTCACTGGTTTTGCTCTTCTGAAGAACCCAGACTAAGACACTGGGGTTTCAGAATCTTCGCCCGGCCACGGCCAAGGCTGGCAGGGGAAGGGGCCAAGTGGTCTCCCAACACGTGCTAAACCACAAGAGTCATTTCCAATCCAAAGCCAGTCATAGCTCTCTGCTTATCATCTTAGATCATTGCCCCTTGAAGCTCAGTTTTATTTTATGCCTGTTTATATCATATTCTCTACATTCAATAAGAACTGCTTTCAAAGTCCCAAAATGAAACCTCTCAGAACATGACTCCTTGAAACCTATTTAAACCAATTTTTAAAACAGGCATTTCAAATGGATGTAATCATCACAATGGTATCTTCCAACTATCCTCCTTTTCTGGTTACCTGAGAGGGGAGACCCCTCCAGGAACCAGAAAAGAGCCCTCTTTCATCTGCTGCCCGCCCTCACCTCAGCTCACCAGTGGTGTCCAGACAGAAGATACAGCCATTCCCAGTGGAAACCAAGGAGACAGTCTTATCTCTCCAAGTTAGGGTGGCTAGATTTAGCAACTAAAAATACAGGACTCCCAGTTACTTTGAATTCCAGATAAACAATGAGTAATATTTTACTATAAGTAAATCCCACAATTTTCCTAGATTCATACTTCATACATTCCAGGTTCCGATTATTAACGGATGTTTGCAGCTGTTTCTTCTCATTTTGAGTCGTGCCACATCAGCAAATGAAGGTCCCAAAAGCTTGACTCCATCCACGTCATTAAGGTCGACTCTACTCTGAGGCGGCAGCTCAAGCATAGCAACAATTGTGAGGATGGCGCAGGACCCGGCAGTGTTTCGTTCTGTTGGGCACAGGGTCGCTAGGAGTCAGAACCGACTCCATGGCACCTAACCACAAGTCCCACAGAATATTTGGGACAGCCTGTATTAAACAATCATTTGTTGTTTTCAACAAATACAAATCAAACTGGGTGTCCTGTAATTTTATGTGGCCACTCCAGATGCCGATCCCCCAGGGAATCTAGGATGGGTCAGAAGTGGGGGAGGGTGGGGGATTTAACCGCCAGCCTAGGAGTATGGCAAACTAACAACCCAGGCCTGGTATTCTCGCTCTTTCACGTGACAGGCGCCCCCCATTTCTCTCCTTCACCCACTCTTCTCCAAAGAGATTCCCTGGCTCTGGCCAGGCCCCCGCCAACCCCGCTCCAAGCCCCATCGCTTCCTTTAACAGACGCTTTCCCTCTGACTCTCTGGCCAGCCACACTCCACACCACACCTCCTAACTTGATCCCTCCCACGCTGAGGGACACTCTGTAGATGCTGTTTCCACACACTACTGCCTCGTGTTTGTTCCCCAAGCAAGGCTGCAGATGGGCTCTGGAGGGACTTCTGACTGGAAGCTTCCTTTCATCTTTCCTTTTCCTAGTGTCTTAGTTTCTTAGTGCTGCTGTAACAGAAATACCACCAAGTGCATGGTTTTGAAGAACAGAAAATGATTTCCTCACAGTTCAGGAGGCGAGAAGCCCAAGTTCCAGACATCGGCTCTAGGGGAAGGCTCTCTCTCTGTCGGCTCTAGGGGAAGACACTCATCTTGGCCTCTGCAAACCCAGCGTTCCTCGGGTCCTTGGCCATCTCCACGTGACATCTATCTTTCCCCTTCTGTGCTTGCTTCTCTCTGTGTCTAAACTGCTCTTTTTATATCTCAAAAGGGGTCAGGTTTAAGATGCACCCTACACTGATAACGGCCTCATGAACATAAGAAAGAAAACTCTATTCCAGATGGGATACATCCACAGGATGGGGTTAGGATTCCAATACCCATTCCGGGAAGACACAATTGAATTCGTAACACCAACACCTATACTGACCCTTCCACCCACTGTCTTGTATTCAGATACAAGACACATGGATCTGAGAGCACGTGGTGTTTGTTAGCTTTGGACAGATGGGCCTTTTTGGTCGTCATTTCAAGACCTAGCTAAAGCAAAGCCTGAGCAAGCATGTCCACCTTGCCCAGCAGAAGTTTTTATGGACTCTACCCCACAGACACCTGTCCCCCTCACTACTTCATACTGTTGATTTAGTGGTCTACAGGGCACCGTGCTCTAAAATTATCACATATATTTAACAGAAACCGGGAGGAAAGAGCTCTTGCTTTCAGGCTTCCCCGTGTGTGTCTGAAGGAAAACATTTACAGCTCAGCTATAAAGTGCATGGAAATATGGAAGGAATGTTGACAGGGCAGTAAAACCGGGGTGAGATTAATGATGCCATAATAGAATCTGTTTTCACTGGGTGCAGAGAAAATTAAATTTTGAAGACATTTCATTGAACTTTGCAGCCTTTGATGCCTGAAACTTTTCTCTTCTAGCCACCCTCCTCCCCTTTAAAGCTAAAGATGGGGGACGAGTTTTATGCCTAGTTGTAAGTATGGTTTCATGACAGATGATCTGGTTTGCTTCCTCGGCTCTGGATGGAGACAAAAAAAGTCTACTCAGGTAACAAAAGTTACTGCTTACCATCATTTGCTGGGCTTTACCTCCTATCTAAATATCTACTTTAATAATCCAAAATACAGCCTCCAGAAGAATAAGATTGTTACCTTCCAGAGCAAGGCACCGGGGTGGGCTGGACGACCAGATAAGGTTGTGTGAGCACTCCAGGTACTCGGACCCTTCTAGCTTAAATCCAGGGAAGCAGTGATAGGAGATCACAGTTCCTACTGGGAAGGAGGTCTGGAACTCGGAGATGTTCACGTAGCCGTTAGAAGAGGCTAATGGTCTCAGGCACCCTGTGAAACGAGAATGAAGGAGGGACAGATGATCTTGTATTAGGAAACATCTCACTTGGTCATCTTTGCGCATCTAAGAGACAAACACAACACTGGAGCTCTGCAGGATTCCCCCACTGTAAAAATGGCACTGCCTGAGGGACGAGGCACCTGGGTCTTAAATGCTGAGACTTCCTTGTTTGCTGTTGTTGTTAGGTGTCGTCCAGTCGGCTCTGACTCACAGTGACCTTGTGTATAATAGAACGAAATGCTGCCCGGTCCTGCACCACACTCACCATCGCTGCTGTGTTTCAGCATAATGTTGCAGCCACTGTGTCAATCCATCTCCTTGAGCGTCTCCGTCCTTTTCACTGACCCTCTACTTTACCAAGCATGATGTCCTTCTCCAGGGACGGGTCCCTCCTGATGACGTGTATTCTATTTATAATGTGGGTAGTAAAAAAAAAAAAGGTGGTGTGTGTGTGACTAAGGATTGGAATGTCCCTGCCCAGTGGTTGTCAGACCGAACTGCACATTAGAATCACCCAAGGAGCTTTAGAAAAATACTAATGCCCCAGCCCCAGGCCCACAGATCTGCTCTGCTTCATCTGGGTAGTGGCTGGGCATTGCTATCTTTTTTTTTTTAAAAAAAACAACTATATTAACTGGTCTTCCTTGTAGGCATATGGATATTATCCTATCACTGACAGTGTTGTAGTTCATGATAGATCTTGAAATGTTCTTCTTTTTTTTAATTTTGTTGTTGTTGAGAATATATTCAGCAAAACATACACCAATTCAACCGTTTCTACATGTACAATTCAGTGACATGGATTACGTTCTTTGGTTTGTGCAAGTATTCTCAATCTCCTTTTCTGAGTTGTTCCTCCTCCATAAATACAAACTCAATGACCCCTAAGGTTCTTTTCTAATCTTTTGAGTTGCTGTTGTCACTTTGATCCCATATAGTTCTTAAAAGAGCTTAATGCTCAAGGCAGACATTTTTTACTAGTTAAGCTAAGCGATTGTTTGGTTTTAAGAAGATTTCAGGGGATATTTTTGGCTTAAGGTTCAAAGATTATCTCAGGGTAATCATTTCAGGGGTTCATCTAGTATCCGTGGCATTTCCCCCGCTTTGATCAGGATTCTTCTGTGAAATCTTTGATCAAAATGTTCGGTAATGGTAGCCGGGCACCATCCAGTTCTTCTGGTCTCATGGAAAAGAAGGCAGTTGTTCATGGAGGCCATTAGCCACACATTCCATATCCTCCTCCTATTCCTTACTCTTCTTCTTTGTTGCTCCAGGTGGATAGAGACCAACTGTCATGCCTTTGATGGCCACTTGCAAGCTTTTAAGACCTGAGGCACCACTCCATGAACAAGGAGGCAGAACAAATGCACCAAACACATTATTAGGCCAATTAACTGGGATGCCCCATGAAACCATGACCCTAAACCTCCAAACCAAGGAACTCCCAAGTAATTCTAATATGCTGTCAGGGTTGAGAACCACTGAGGTGCCGCAAGAGGAGAAAAGCATCCCAATGGTTTTAATGGTAGTGATGGGGGTGGTAGGGAAGGTTATGATCCAAACGCGATTCTACCATAGAAGATCATGGAACAGATGCATGCCTAAGAAGGTGCAATTAAACGTTGGGAAATCCAGGTGTGTTTGATGTAAAATAGGTGCGGAACCTTGTAGTATGGGGTTCTGACACTTTGGTGTACATCTGAATCACCTGGAGGGCTTGTTAAAACACAGACTGCTGGGCCCACCCCCAGGGCTTCTAATTCACTAGGTCTGGGATGGAGCCTCAGAATTTGCATTTCTAACATTTCCAGGAGGTGCCGATGCTGCTGGTCTGGGGACCACGCTTTGAGGACCACGCTTTGAGAACCACTGCTGCAGTTAGTCCTTGCATAACCAAAGAATTCTGTGTGACATCAGGGTGCCGGTGAAACCGGGATCCCGTACTTCTCCTGTAAAACATTACCAGTTGTTGTTGAGTCGACTCCAACTCATGGCGACCGCATGCGTGTCCAAGTACAAATGTGGTCCATATAGTTTTCAATGGCTCTGGGTGGACCTGAACCACCAATCTTTTGGTTAGCAGCTGAGTGCATTAACCGCTTGCATTAGTGTACCCAGGAACTCCCTGTAAAACATTAGCTCTCTTTTTGTCTCTAAGTCTGTGCAGCCCGGTAGGACATGTGCAATGGCACAGAATTCCATTCTGTGTGGCTTCCACTGTGATCATGGAATTTCTCGCTGGCTTCACCAATTTCACTGGAGGGAATAATAACACTGCAGAGATGGTGTTCTTCCGGGGGAGAATTAATTGTGTGTGAAGTCAATAATATGTAATGAAAATGCCTGGTTTCCCTTCCAATCACCAAGTAGAGATTATCTCGTATGCACAGTAGCAGACGACTGAACCCTTCTCCAAAGCTGACTCTGTTCGACATTATATCTTGAAAAGATCTCTCAGCAAATTGCTGAGTCAACAACATGTTTTTAAAACACCCCAGTGTATGGAGTCTGTACATCAGGGCAAGAGCCCCTGGGTGGTGCAAAGAGTTAATACACTCAGCTATTAACTGAATGGCTGGAAGTTCGAGTCCACCCAGAAGCACCTTGGAAGAAAGTCCCGGCGATCTACTTCCAAAAAATCAGCTATTGAAAACCTTACAGAGTACAGATCTACTTTGACACACATGTGGTCACCATGAGTCGGAGTTGACTCAACAGCAACTGGCTGGTATATCAGGGAGGGACCAAGGTGAGTGAGGCACCTAGGATGCAGTTTACGGAGGTACTCCCTGTCAGGGTGTACAAGTGCCACCCCTGCACTGCTGTGTCCTGGTGCCACTGAGCTCTGCAAACTCAGCTGCCCACCGTCCTGAACCAGCCAATACTCAGGGCCTAGGGAATGGGCCATACACAGAAGGACCTCTAGAGTGGACCGTAGCTGGAAGGGCCTCTAGAGTGGGTCACACTGGGAAGGGGCTCTGGAGTGGGCCACACCCTGAAGGGGCTCTGGAGTGGGCCACACCCTGAAGGCCCTGTGGAATGGGCCACACCCTGAAGGGGCTCTGGAGTGGGCCACACCCTGAAGGGCCTGTGGAGCGGGTTATACCTGGAAGGGCATGGAGCTCATGCCATCTTTTTCGACAGACCTCATGGCCTTAAGTTATTACTATTTTCTGAGCTGCAAACTAAACGCTCACAGCACAAATGAAGTCTGTGTGGGGAGGGTGAGTGTCAGAAATAAAATCAATATGGAGGAAAATAATAAGCAAACAAACATGAACAAATGAATGCGTTACAGCCACACGCACTGTTCACACGAGTTGGCTGTATGGGTGAGCGCGCCTGCCCCTCCTCTAGGAAGACAAAGGTGTTGTAGTCCTAAGTTACCCACACAGATAAACTGGCTTCCCCCAAATAAACATGAGCTCAGACCCGTAACTGGCAGGAGGCATCAGGATGCTATGCTCCCAAACATAAAGGTCTCATAAAAAAACGGCCACGAAACAGTCCCCCACCCTCACCCCAAGGAGATGGAAGGGATTATAATTGGTGCAGTTAATCAGAGGAAGGGAAAGATGTGCTCACTCTCGGCTGGAGACAGGCTGTCCTAAATATAACGGGAGACAACTGGCTTCCATTCAATAGTTCAATGCGATTTCTATTTGCACTTCTGGATAGTAGAGAAAAGGCTCCTCAGGCTTTAGCCCCTGGATCTATAGGTGCAAATGAAGTTACAGAATGAGATGTCACACTAAAGGCCAATTATACTCCCCCTGGGGGCTCGGAGAGGGGGCTCGGAGAGGTGAGTCCTCATTCTCTGTGCTGGGCCAGCAGGGGCAGGGAGGAAGCTGGAATATCAGAGGCTCCTGCTCCAGCTCCAGCAAGACTGCTCTGACTCCCTCCTGACTCTGCAGCCAGGCTTAGCAGGTGGAGTGGAGAGCAAGGGACGGAGCAGGGGCCTTCTCTTGGGGACAGAGGGCTCTGAGGAGAACATAAGCGGAGCTGTTTTGTACTGTTGTTAGAAGAGCACGCCTCTCAAGACCAGCCAGCAAACTCTTCTGTCGTTGCTGTATAAATATTTGGTTGTCAGCTGCCATCGAGTTAGCCCCCCACTCATGGCAACCCCATGCACAGCTGAACGAAACACTGCGTGGTCCTGCACCATCTCCGTGACTGGTCGCAGATTGGACCCCTGTCATCCATAGGGTTTCACTGGCTGATTTTCAGAAGTAGATCTCCAGGCCTTTCTTCCTAGTCCATGTTAGTCTGGAAGCTCTGCTGAAACCTGTTCAGCATCATAGCAACACACAAGCCTTCACTGGCAGGCGGGTGTGACTATGCATGAGGTGCACTGGCTGGGAACCGAACCTGGTCTCCTGCGTAGAAGGTGAGAATTCTATCAATGAACCACCACAGCTTCCTGCAGAAGCACAGGAGCTATTTTTTGACTGAGATCTGAGTAAGGCATGGTGGAGAGGAGTGGCAAGAATGGGGAGATGGAGCAACAGCAAAACCTGTATCTGAACTTCTCACGATGAGACCTGGAAATGTATGCCACCACAGGACATTTTTAAAAAAATTATTGGGGGAAAAGAAGCAACTCCTAAAGAAGCATACTGTATTTAAGCGACAGAAAGGGTGGAGGAGCTGTAAGTGGAAACTAGGAAGACAAGAAGTGGCTGGAGTTTGAGGTAATTTTCTTCGCCATTACTCTGACAGGGCTACAGGACCGGAACAAATCAGTGGTTAGTAATGTTCGTTTGAATAAATAGCCCGACCTAAGAGCCAGCTGTTTATTTTATGGACAGTCTCTGAAAGTGTAAATAAATCACGTGTCTCCTTTAAAAACTATAACATATAATATGTTAAGCAACATGGGAAGTTTCTGGGGAGAAATGATGGGGGTGTGAGGGTCTGGGCTGCCTCAGTCATCCTTGTTTCTTCAAAGGGCCGTGACTCTTAAGTTCTCACGTAAGGAAATGATTTATTTCCAACAGTGGGGCAGACAAAGCAATATCAGAGCCTGCCAGTTGTAATTTCCAAGCACAAAGGTAATGTTCGTCTCAACTTTCATAACATGCCAATCCTCTCGATGCAAGTAACACTGTCCCCACCCCTCGCCCAGGATGATGAATTATGCATTGGCTCCTTGGTCCTCTGGTCCGTCACATGTCAAAAAATAAAATCAGAATTAATGTGAACTCAAGAGCATATTTTCACAAACAGGGCCCCCTCTGTGTTGGGCCAGGCAAATTTTTTAAAAATGCAAGAGGATAAATATTCACTGTGTGGTTTGGATGAAATCTGAATTTGATGATTTTTCTGCTCTTGATGCATTATAAAAAGGGATAACATTATTAGGAGAAAATCGCCTCTGTAAAATTGGCTTTAAATATATTTTCACCACGAATGAAATAACTATAAATGCGCTGCTATTTCCATTACATATACAATAGTCCATCATGGTGTTCACAGCCCGGTTACAAGTCTCCTGATTCTTAAACGACTTTTGATTTCTCAGTGTAAAGGAGAGATTCAACACGTTTAGGAAAAAGGTATTCCCCCTTTGCACTTTAAAACTGTGTGTAGGGGGACAGAACGCAAATGACGGGGGGGATCATGACAGTCCAAGAAGAGAGCTTTGGCAGTCACCCTGAAGACAGAGCTGGTCCGTGTGGGGGCGTGGCTTTGTCCCCCATGGTTTGCATCACTCTATTAGAGAAACACATACTTAGTCTGGAGTTCTGGTGGCTCAGCGGTTAAGAGCTCGGCCGCTAACCAAAAGGTCAGCAGCTCGAATCCACCAGCCGTTCCTTGGAAACCCTATGGGGCAGTTCTGCTCTGTCCTACAGGGTCGCTATAAGTCAGAACTGACTTGATAGCAACGGGTTTGGTTTGGTTTCTTCGCACTTGATCTACAATAAAGTCAGAGAGAAGAGTAGCTGAGCACTGTTGCTTCTGGGCTTACCTTGACAGATGGGCAGATTATCCCACGTTCCATCATCGCGACATAATGAAACCATGTTGTAGAGGTCGGGGTAACGGATTTTGAATCCTTCATGACAGGTGATAATTAACTTATCTCCGTGTCTGTATGTCTTGTTATGAATCTCAGCATCTTCAATTTGAGGGATACGGCAATCTGCAATTGTATAAGAAGTGTACATTATTATGGTGCAAATGGTTAAGTGCTCGGCTACTAACCGAAAGGTTGGTGGTTTGAACTGTCTCAGGGAAAGACAGCTTTCAGGGCAGTCAGTGGGACACAGGCATAATAGGCTGACCATGCTATCTAATTTTAATCTGGATTTCTAGACTAACAGCTAGGTTTTTTGAGAAAAACACGTGAAACCATCTGCCCCGAGAGGTCTTAACCAAGTGACCATCTGCACCCCTCAGAATACACGGACTCAGGAAGAGTCCTGGGTGCTGTGATCAACAAGATATTTCTGCAAGATAGACAAGGAAAATACAAGTAAGTATCTTGTGACCACGATCTAAGCACCCTGTGAAACTCTCTGTAATCACTAACCACACTGTTAACAATCAGTAACCAGTCAGAGTGTGATTAAGACAGTAGTCACTGATTTTCCTGTAACTGCCCCCCCTGTGGTTTGGTACCTTTTTCCACCCCACAATACTACTTGTATAAGGACTACATTTTCCATTTTCAATGGACGACATAGTTCCCCAACTAAATTCCCCAATTCCTCTCCGATTTAACTTGAAACAACATTCACGTTTTTCTCTACAACAGAACCCACCCAGAAGTGCCTCGGAAGACAGGCCTGGTGATCTGCTTCCAAAAGGTCACAGCCTTGAAAACGCTATGGAACAGTTCCACTCTGCACACAGGGCATCGGAGTCGATTCAACATTATTGGAATTTAAAACAGTTGTGGTTAAGAGCATTACCAGAGGGGTCTTATTTTCAGACCTGGTATCGACCTGCACAACAATCTGGTCAGAAGTTAACCTCATTTACCAGGAGGCTCGGGTCCCAAGGACGAGGACGCGCAACAGGAAGAGAACACTCAGAAAGAGGGACCGAGAGAGAGTGGATGGAATCACAAAGGAACTTTACTTTCTGCCTCTGACGCTTCACACAGCACAGTGGATCTTACGGACGATTGTGCAAATCAGCGAAGGAAGACAAGGGCTGGGGATTAGCCTACGCTGTCCGTCTGTTAGACATTTCGCTGTGTCTACGGACAGTACATAGCAGGAGGCAGCCTGACTGGCTGGTCCTCACAGCTGCCCCAATCTGCCGCTCTGCCTGTGCGGCCGGGTCTGAGCCTGATAAGAAAATATGCTTAGCAGTACGGCAGGTGGGCTGAGCTGTGGTTGTCTCTGCGATTAGCATTTCCTGTCCACCGTATCTGTTTTTAAAAAGATAAAAAATTGAGCAGCACATATTATTGCCAGTATCACAAAGGCCCAGGGCAAGGAGCTGTGCTGCCTCCTAAAAATCGAGCAAGAACTGAAGGCACGCATAGGAGAGAAGAGGCAAGGCTGGGATTTAGGAACAGGGCGCTGGAGGAGCAAGGAGCCCAGGCAGCAAAAACATGAAAAGATACAATGAATACATTATAATTATCCCCTTCTAAACTATCTGGAGCCCTGGTAGCACAGTGGTTGTAGAGCTCAGGTGCTAACCAAAAGGTTGGCAGTTTGAATCCACCGGCTGCTCCTTGAAAACCCTATGGGGTAGTTCTACTCTGTCCCACTGGGTCGCTATGAGTTGTAATTGACTGATCGGCAACTGTTTTTGTTTTTGTTTTTTTTTTTCAAACTCTATCTACTTCCAATTCACTGCTCAGGCCACTTCACTCTTTGCTGCCAAGTTGGGACCCTGCTGCCCCTGGCTGCCCTCCCCTCCCTCCTGAATCACTGCCCTACGAATCCCATCCTGGTTTAAGTCACATCAATCACAGTGTGTCCTCCTCCATCCCCCATGGACCCGTCTCTGTTTAACGTTTCTTGATTTTACCTGCATATATGCTTGTAAGCTTGAGCTATTTAAGGGCTTTTAAGGGCAGGGGGCCCAGACCTGGAATCCCTGGGTGGTGCAACAGTAATGTGCTCGGCTGCCAACTGAAAAGTTGAAGGTTCAAGTCCATCCAGAGGTGCCTCAGAAGAAAGGCCTGGTGATCTACTTCTGAAAATTCAGCCTTTGAACACCCTATGAAGCACAGTTCTACTCTGGCACACATGGGGGCGTCATGAGTCAGAAACGACTCGACGGCAACTGGTTTGGTTTTGGTTTAGGCCCTAACCTACAGATGGGTTAGGTTCCAAGCTTGTCTGTTCTTAATTTTTTGAAACAAGGAGGAGCCAAGAACACTGCTTTGGCAACCATAGAAAAGTCCATGTTTTAAAAGACTGTAGGCTTCTCAGCCACTCCCCAATGCCTGTTGAATCCACAATATGGTTGAAATAGTATCGGCAGGAACCCCGGCTTAAGTTCCTCTAAGCTTTGAGCTGGCAGTGCTGAGGTGGTGAGCCTTTGGAACCCTGACACGGGTGGCAGAGAAGGAAGGAGCGGTGGCTGGCTGGTGGATGGCTCTGGTGAATGGGAACTTTGGTGGCTTTAGACAGGGCACATCCCAGGAACAACAGAGTAAGGCTGGCGCTGGGATTACTGGGGAGTCACAGAGACTCTACCAACAATGGGATCCAGAAAACAGGATGTCAGTGATGGGTAAGAAGGGGGCCTCCCTGGCAGAGGCGAGCCCTAGCAGCTGGGGAGTGGAGGCGCAGTGGGCCACGTGGGGGGTGATCCGAAGTTAAATGTTTGTAAACCCAAGTTAGCCATTATCTTAGTGTTTGTCACCACCAGTGGCGTCCCTGGATGGTGCAAACGGTCAACGCACTGCGCTGCTAACTGAAAGGTTGGCCGTTCAAGTCCACCCAGAGGTGCCTCGGAAGAAAGGTCTGGTGATCTGCTGCTGAAAAACCAACCATTAAAAACTCCATGGAGTGCAGTTCTATTCTGACACCCGTGGGGTTGCCAGGAGTCGGCATCAACTCGACATCAACTGGTTCTGCTCACCACCAACAGACCGAGAGCTTGGCAGCGCAGGCTGCATCGCTCTCTTCCTCTGCCATTCCTTTCACGCTTCCATTCCTTTGTGCACACCTGGCAAGGAAGAAATGCTGAGGGGAGTATCTGAATTCCTGCCTGAGAAGCCTGTGAGTGCATAGCCCCTTGAGAGCCTGATTAGCAGGGGCTCCGTGCAGCTCCTGCAGCTAAGCCTTCTGCCAAGGAAACCTAACGTTAGTCCTTCCCTCTGCCCATGGATTTCCACACAGACAGTCTGGACTGGAGAACCATATTCTGATGTAAATTTTACCTCTCATTTTCGTGTCTCAGGCAAAGGGAAGGGGTTTTCTAACTGTTCGTGTTTAACCAACAGTTGTTCTACTAGAGCAGCTGAAATGCCCCCAAATCAATACCAGAATAATCCCGACTGGAGTCACCAGATAACTGAGGACTCTGCCCACCACTGCTGCCCTCTCTTTAATGGGAAATGTGAAATTATATTTTTGCAATGTAACTACGAAGAAATTATTCACAGCAAATAAAACACATTTATCAAGGCATCCGTCTGTGAAATCTTGGCTGTAAATAGATCCTTTGGCAGTAATTTATATGTCTAAACAACTATTTTCATGATTGACTTAAAAGTTGCTCAAGAATCAGCTAGCATATTCAGAAGATAGTAAACTACAGAGAGCAGAGTTAATGGGCAGAACTGTCTCAGCCATGTGGCTATTGCTGGCCTCTAGTAGAAGGGCCAAGTCTTGCTTCCAAGGCTGGCAGCACAGTGGCCTAGAATGCTAGAATTTGTTGACCTAATCAGAACTCCAAATTTACATGAGCAGAAGTTGGGGACTCTTGAAGAAACTAATCCAAGGTTCAAAGGGAAGAAATTCACAGTCTCCTTAACTTAATTACATACTCTGCTCAAAGAAGAGTCACAGGGAGTGACCGAGGGCCAGTTTACCACGGGAGAGGAGCCATGTATCAACTGCGGAGTCAGAAACTGGAGTTCAAATCCCACCAAAGTAGAGAGGCCTTGAAGGTAAAACACTCCAGGCTTATAGCTGAGACCCCAGGAGGGCTGTGTCCTAGGAGTAAGGGAAGAACTGAAATAGACCACTCTAGCCTAGAGGAGCCCTGGTGGCGCAATGGTTAAGCACTCTGCTGCTAACTGAAAGGCTGGCATTCAAAGCTATCGGTGGCTCTGCGGGAGAAAAGATCTCGCAACCTGCTTCTGTAAAGATTACAACCTAGGAAATCCTATGGGGCAGTTCTACTTTGTGCTACAGGGTCCCTGTGAGTCAGAATTGACTGGATGGCACACAACAACACCACCACCAACAACAAAGCAAGACCTAAAACTAAGCCTTGACAGGAGATAATATCGCCCAAGCTGTACTACAGTTTTTTCTTTTTTTCACAACTTATTTTTTATTTTTTTTAATGTTATGCTTTAAGTGAAAGTTTACAATTCAAGTTAGTCTCGCATACAAAAATTTATACATACATTGTTATGTGACCCTAGTTGCTCTCCCTATACTGAGACAGCACACTCCTCTTTTCCACCCAGGATTTCCCGTGTCCATTAAAACAGCTCCTGACCCTCTCTGCCTTCTCCTCTCACCTCCGGACAGGAGCTGCCCATTTAGTCTCATGTATCTACTTGAGCTAAGAAGCACACTCTTCACACGTATCGTTTTATGTACCATAGTCCAATCTAATCTTTGTCTGAAGAGTTGGCCTTGGGAATGGTTTCAGTTTTGGGCTAACACAGGGTCCAGGGGCCATGTCTTCCAGAGTCCCTCCTGTCTCAGTCAGACCATTAAGTCTGGTCTTTTTACTAGAATTTGAGTTCTGCACCCTACTTTTCTCCTGCTCCATCAGGGACTCTCTGTTGTGTTCCCTGTCAGGGCGGTCAATGGTGGTAGTCGGGCACCATCTAGTTCTTCTGGTCTCAGGCTGATGCAGTCTCTGGTTTGTTTATGTGGCCCTTTCTGTCTCCTGGGCTACTGACACTACAATTTTTAACCCACAATGTCTGTCACCAAATCACCCCAGGAAAGAAGGGGGAGTTAGGGAGAAGAGTGCACCTGGAGTAAG